GGCGGCTCGCTCTTTGGCTTCAAATGACTCCAGTTGAGCTTCCCGGGCCAACATGTCACGCACGTTGGCCATCCATCCGACAATGTCAGACCGTTCGTCCTCGCGCAGGCCGTCCGCAAAGTTTCGGGAGGCCCACCGCTTCAGGACTTCCAGCACATTGAACAGCTCTTGTCGTATTTCGCGCTCGCTTTTGATCTTCGCCAGTCGATCGGGTCGCTCATGCGCAGTGTAGTAGATCTTAGCGGCTCGGATCGCAAAAGTGACAGTGTCTAGGACCCGCATGCCCTGGATCTCTTGCCAGGTCTGCGGGGTTGCTTCTGCAGGCGCCTGACGCGAGGGGTCTTCCGCAGCGTCGGGCATATCGTCACTCGAAAGACTAATCCGCGGGGGAATCATCTCCGCCGGCGGTTCCTTTTGAGCATCGATCGATTCGATGCTGTGTTCGGCTTTCTCCAATGCGTCCCGCAGATCCTTCCGCAGAGCCTTGAGTTTAGGTGGGGGCGGGATGTGGTGCGTTTTGATGCTGTAGGTACTGACCGTGGGAGGAAGCATGACTTCAACATCCTCATCATACACCTCCTCCCTAGGATCTATACTTTCACTTTCGTCATCGGTGGGACTGGCACTGGTCGGACTGAGAGTCAAGTCATCAATAAACCGAGCGTTGGGGGTCAAGAGCAGTCGCGGCATATCCTCCGGCTTCTTTTTCTTCTTAAATTCCCTAGCCTGGGCACCTTTGCCGTCCAGTAGACCGGTTCGTGCAAAGTAGTATTGCAGATGAGCGATGCTACCCAGGCTCATGACACTCTCCCGGTTTTTGGCGGACTCCGCAAACTCGACCCCCTGAGGGCGAATGTATCCTCGTCGCTTGGATGAGATGGAGACGGAAGATCTGGCATCGGCGGAAGTGGCGGAAGAAGTCGACAGAGAGGAGATGGTCGAAAAGGTACGATCTGGCGACGGACAGGAGGAGATAGCCGGCGTCGCTGGGATGGAGGGGGAGGGCGACGAGGCTCGAACAGGGGCCATGAATTCGGGCTCGACAGATTCATCCATATTGGGCGTATGCTAAGCTTTGGACAGTTTGTTTGATGGGAAGGGTTGGCACTTTCGCAGACGATAGATCTCAACGGTATGGCGTTGGAGGGCACAGATCCGGTTTGGGCGAGAGATGGGATATGCCTCACACTAAAGCAGGAAAGGACAGGTGGTCGTCGGGGGGGAACAGGAACCGTTTTGACGTGATTAAAAATAGGGATAGGGCCTCGGATGAGTGACTGGTGATGGTGATCGATCGGCCGACGAATTTAATTTGGGCGTGACTCGAAAGGGGGATTTTTACCACTAAAAGGGGAAGCGGGTCGATGGCCGCGGTGCCAACTCGTCGGCCACCGGGAGTTGTCGTGGTACTTTCTAGATAAGTAGTCCTGCACTGTTATTAATAGCAGTGCCGATTGCTTTCTTTTTTTTTTTTTTTTTTTTTTTTTTGTTCTCTGTTCTGCTTCATTCAGCTCTCCCCCTGAGGTAGGGCTGTTCGCCTCATCACTCGAGTCAGGTTCATGACTTCGAACTTCCAGATATCCACCTCCTTTTAGGAAGTGCTTATAGGGAATCATGCAAAGCGTCCCAAGAAAGTCATCCGGCCGGGCGGCCCTTGTCCTGCCTAGGCTTAGCGCCTCCCCGGTGCCTGGAAGCCCCGCATCCAAACTTCGGCACGGTTTTCCATCCATCTTTGCGCTCAGGAACACCCGTTCCCATCACTACTGGTGGGATTTATCACTCCTGATCATCTCGGAGCGGAAACTTGAAACATTATCCATGTTCATAACATCCATTGTCGTCATCTTTGAGAGGAGATCTCTTCGCTAAATTGGATGTGCTAATCTAGGATATATGAAACATCAACACCAGTTCGATAAGCCCGATGTTGCACTGACAATAATATGCTGACGCTCAAGCCGCATTGTAGACCCGGTCCAGCCGGTTGTCTCTGAAAGAAACCAAATATCTGGCATGTGAATTCAAATCACCTCCTCTCGCTCCCATCCAGTGGGTTTCAGGTCTGCAATCCCCTTGTTCGGATGCGCCTTTGTCGGATCCTTGTACTTGGCGGCATATGGATTGGGGTCTATCGCCTGGTTTAGGTTTCCCAGTGTATGGTTTACCTCCCGGTGTTTGGCTTCATCTGCCCGAACATACAGCAGGAGATCCTTCATGCTGCGCTGACCCTCCGGCATCTTCCAATACTGCACGGCGATCTCGGGGGCCTCCGTCTTCTCCCATGCGGGAAGACTTCCAGCTTCAATCTCCTTGATTGCGCGGGTATATGTGATCACCGCTTCCTCCTCGAGGTATCCGACGAAACGGTGGCATATGCGTGGCGACATGAGGTAAGACAGGAAGAATCCGTTGAAGAAAACCCCTTGTGCTCCAAGAACCATCAGGCGCATGAACCATCCGGGCTCTGCGAGCTTAAGGAAGGTCAGCAAATGCATACGCTCGTTGTATGCTTCCTCCAGCAGTGTTTCAATCCTAGGCGTGGTCAGTGTCTGTCATCTTTGATAATCGCGAGATGTAGCATACCATCCATTATCTCTCTTCATGCGTCGCAAACTTCTCAGATGTCTCAGCATGCCTCCCACCATGCCTGGTACGCCAGCCACGCTTTCCAGGAAGATAAAGCGCGTAAGCCACTTCTGCTCTGTCATTTTGAACCTGGCCTCGTGTTCCCTGCCTGGTGGAGGATGCCGATATCCAGTCACAAGATCCATGCCCCATCTCAGCATCCGCACCGTTCCCAACGCAACCCAGTCGGCCCAATTCTTTGCGTCTCGGTGCGCGATTGCGACTTGTTTCATCTGCTCTTCGGTATAGCTGGTATTGTCAGCTCCACTCACTATCATGCATGCGCGAGATGAACGTACACAGGATGGACCCAAGCTGTTTCCACCTCCTTCACATGAGGAGCAGTCGGGGGAGGGAAGAACTCCTTGATCTGCGACTTGGGCGTGGTTGATATGAATCGCTTCCCAGCTGTCTGATGTCTATTTGCCACCAACGACCCGCTACAGCGCAGACCGCTCATAGCAATGACACCGGAGTAATTTCGAGTAGCGATATGCATATATGACTTTGGAATGGCAGCCCGAATGGGCGCCGTGGCTGTTAACGAGTTCATTGGGTATGAAAGCAGTCGGTATGCTCGTAGTAGAAGATAATATGGAAAACTCAATAATGAAGTATTCACTTGTTGCTTGATCGATATCCTATGTATCAGACTGATTACATGTACAAACCCCTCTAAACCCCCATCCCTATTTATATTCCTCAGCCCCAGCGAAAATTTTCAACATCCATTCATTGTCTCGTATCCAGGGTATGACTCTACAGGGCAGAAAGGTTCGGCAAAAGCCGGGAGTGGCACTGGCGCCCGGAACCATACATACAAAACGGCAGGAGTGAGAGAAAAAAGTCACGCGGATCGAGAAAACCCGGATCCATCTACTATACCAAGACATCAGGACCCAGTATAGGCTTTTGACCCTGAGATTAGTTATCTTAGCATTAACAACTCAAATTTGCTCAGCCACGTCTGCAGTAGAAATTTCCAAGCAATTTTCGTATCCATGGATAATGGGTGTCGATTTTGACGAGGAGGATTTTGTTTTGTTTCTTACAAGGTCTGGATTAGTTACAAGGTTGCCGCTGTTGCCGCCACGCCAGGGCGGTATTTGGGGGGTTGTCTTAATGACTTTCTGTGTTTATCGCTATCGCTGTTGAGTTAATCGTAGGCCTGACATCTTTGTTTTTGAGAATAATCAGGTTTGCATGGTAGTAGCTAAACCACGTCGTAAAATACAAAGTGTCAGATATGCTGTAATAATTGGAATGCAGGACTTCGAAAATAACTTAGTTACCAGAGGTAAGGCCTACTACTTCGAAACTTCCTTTCCCATCTTACAGTGCTCTGCTTGCCTGCCTTGATCACCGCCACAGGGATACACATGACATAAACTAGCGTTAACAATAGCCCAAATACTACAGGCTCGGCATCGAACTCCCCCAATCCAAGTATGTTCACCGCAGATCCTCTATCGAAAAACCATTGGAATCCCAGGTCCCAATAGTAGCAACCCATTACTAGCGGTTACAATCACTAATTAGACCGACTCCCTCGCATTAAAATGACATTTGAAACCAAGTTAAGCTTCCAAGCGCCCTGCATATCCCGGTGGGTCATCCAGCGCAGCCTAGAACTTACATAGGAGGTACGGGACGTATGAATCGCCCTTCGATAGGGATGTTCGATGACCACACTTGGAAATTGTATCTTGATCATGGGTATATGGGTAGTTGGTGTGCTCTGTCTACTCTCGAAGTGGAAGCAGATTTAAATTGCTTCCCATTATCTCTCTACCTGAAGATGAACGGGAAGATATTTCGGCGTAAGTTCGCTGCTGTTATCTGATTACGGACGACTCCTTGTAATCTGGGCTGGTCCCCGTGACCCGGGGTCCCCTTGTTTTACGTAGTTTTGGATGCTCGGCGTCTGTTGAACGCGAACTCCGTGTTTCTTTCTTAGTTAATTTCTTGCTCGGGGTGGGTTATTCTTAATCGGCGACTCGGGGGTGGTTTATGGGGTATGAGTTGTGGTTGATTGGTGGTATCTAAATGGGAATACTAGATTGACTCAGTGTTATGAAACGTTGCTTGAAAACCTCTCGTTTTGCTGTACTGCTTTGGATAATTGTAAAGAAACTGTAACAGATATTTGTATTAAGGACATAAGTTGAAGATCATCTTTACAATAAGTAGTAATTTACATCCAAACGTACCCAAGTTGTGACCCCCCGTGTTCTATGGCAGGTCGCCTTACCGGGAGAACCCGGAACGCCGTTTGAGTCAAGGCATGCCGAAGATAGTTCGGGATTGCGCCGGGGTCTGCTCGCTCCATTCATTCCTGACCCCCGACGTCAGACAGGGGCCGGTGAACATATTAGAAACAGACTATTTGTTGTTGCTCCTGCATTTTCCGTTTGATGTTGTCATTGATTCTGAAGATGCTGGCTTGGCTTTCAGATGACTTTTCAATACGAGGGTTGTTGGAAAGGCTAGGATCAATATTACATTATCATCTACTAGTAGTAGTTCATGTCAGAAGGACAAACAAGATTTTGTTTTGCAGCGGTACACTATTAACGGAAAGGAATGTATTTGGAAAGATAGTATATCACTGCATGGCCTCATACCCCGACTCCGAAGTCTTCATAAACCCGAATTCTACCTCTCCATCCTTGGGTGCGATTTCCTTCTTCTCTAGCTTGACGACATGTGCATGGCGGGGTCCATTGTTGATGTCTTTGAGGAACTTCTGTAGAGACTCTTCGGTTCCTTGGGCTTCACCTTCTACCTGCATGGTATTAATATAAGTAATTTACCCGATATCAACATGAAAGAAGATTCATGGACAGAAAGGGAAAAGTGTCAGTCATGTAGTAAAGAGGGACAGCACAAACCCTTCCACAATGTGTGTTCTTCACCCAGCCTTTTACATCATATGCAGTGGCTCTCTTCTGAGTGAAGTCCCTATAGATCGCGGCGTGCTTAGCGAGAAGTGCATCTATAGCGTGCAGAAGGCAGGGTATAGTTACCGGAATCCCACTCCTGCCAGATTATGTATTAGACTTGTCTGCTACAGAAAGAAAAGTTTCATAGATGTTGCTTAGGAGCATTGACGTGAACTTGCCTTGGACCGTGCCAGATACTTTGAATGCGATCTGGGGGTAGTTGTGTTAGTCCATTTGTAATAGATGACGTAGCGACCCCGGGGAAGGGTGTATTGGCTAAGGGTCTGAGGTGAAAGCCTTACACGTTGCGATGCCATCTTGATAGATGTATATGACCTTTTCCAAAGCATAAAGAAGATGTCACCGACTTTTGATGTCTATGGACTGGCTATTGTTCTCTTGAACCTGGTGAAGCAGGCAATGGCTTAGTCATCTGATATCATGAGGGGTGCGACTGCGTACGCTAGTCTTGATCGGGTCAGACATTGTTTGTGGCCAATCAATGCCTGTATATCTGGATTAGTCACTTATCGAGCCAGTTCAAGTGCACGAGAATACTACTATATCGTAAATGGCAGGGTATCAGATCAATTATAATGATAACTATAGAAATGATACTTATGTAATGAATGCTATTTCCAGTTCAATCCATGCTGACTGTTATGGTATGCAGTGCTGACAGCGGCATAACCAGCAGCCCGTGACCCCAGCGGAGATCCGCCCCTGAGCCAAAAATGGAATCCGCGGTGATCTCCCCAACATCCGCTCCTGTTGCTCTCCGCACTCCGTCCTTACGGTGTCTCCCCTCTTCCTTTGTCTTTGAGGGGTTGCACTACGCAATGCTAGTGCTAAGATGCCTCTTTCAGTACTTTCGTGGCTTCGGAGATTATACTCCCTTGATACTCTAGATACCCGCCTTACTACCTCTTCTACTACTCCGCCCAAAGCTGCCGCGGGTCACACGCGAGCTCCCTCCGCCAGAGATGCCCGTGCCATTGCGATTGCGCGCAATGCTCCCCCTCCGAAATGGCGAACTTTTGAGTTCTACATTTACTACGTGATCTTCTTGATCGCTGTGCCGTTGATGTTCATCACGGCCATTGGGGTGTCGCAGGGTAGGCCTGGACCACTTTTTTGTTACAAGAGGAGCAGCTATGCTGACTTGATTATGTAGAGAGCCACCCTTCATATCCGACCTACGCTCATCTGCTGTCGCCTGGCTGGATACCCGGACGTCAAGTTGTAAGTAACTGGTGTAATTGTTCCATGTTAGACGCTGACTTTATTGTTCTGCTAGGACAACTCCGATGACCAGTATTCCTCGTTCCGCGATAACGTACCATACCTGTTGCTGCTACTAGTCGGACACCCTTTGCTTCGCCGTCTATACAACAGCTATGTACGCCCAGTCGCCGGAGATACCGGGTCCTCTAAGGCTTCTCCGGCAATCCTTGCTGCGGATGCTCGTCTCACTCAGCGGATAAGCTTCGACTTCTATTTCGCGCTCGTCTTCATCACAGCCCTTCACGGTGTTTCCGCGCTGAAGGTCCTCGCAATTCTATATGTGAACTACAAAATCTCCAAGAATCTCCCCAGGAAGTACATCCCTGCGGCAACTTGGTTGTTCAATATCGGAACGCTGCTTGCGAACGAACTCTGTTCCGGCTACCATTTGGAATGGGTGGCTTCTTTGTTCGTGGCCCCGAGTGGTGCAGACAAGGAGGCACCCTTGGTACTTTGGGGTCGCTACCTTGACGGGTTTGGTGGTATCATGCCCCGATGGGAGATTCTCTTCAACATTACGATCCTTCGATTGATTAGTTTCAACATGGATTACTATTGGTGCCTTGACTACCCCGCTGCCAGTCCCATTGAAGTAAGTTTATTTCTCTCTCGATACGGGATCCAATCTGACAGACATAAGAAGAAACAAGTCGATCCTGCAGCACTGTCAGAGCGCGACCGTGTCAGTATCCCCGCGGAGCCAGCTGCGTTCAATGGGCGCTATTACCTTGCCTATGTTCTCTACGCTCCGTTGTACTTAACAGGCCCTATTTTGACCTTCAACGACTACATCTCCCAGCAAAGATACGCACCTCCATCTCTTACACGGACCCGGACAGTACTCTACGGTGTCCGTTTCTTCCTGACACTACTCGCCATGGAGCTCATACTTCATTTCATCTACGCCGTGGCTATCTCGAAGGCGTCCCCCGACTGGTCCCTGTACACAGCTGGCGAGCTCAGCATGTTGGCATATTTCAATCTGCATATCATCTGGCTTAAACTTCTGATTCCATGGCGGTTTTTCCGTTTCTGGGCATTAGTCGACGGAATTGACCCGACCGAAAACATGATACGCTGCGTTTCGAACAACTACTCTCCCTCCTCCTTCTGGCGCGCATGGCACCGCTCCTTCAACCGCTGGATCGTGCGCTATCTCTACGTGCCCCTAGGTGGAGGCAGCAGAGGAAGTGCCGACCGCGGCAAATCTTCCGGGATCTACGCCAAGGCCCGCCAGATCTTCAACACGCTTATTGTCTTCACCTTTGTTGCTCTCTGGCATGACATCAACCCCCGTCTCCTCATGTGGGGCTGGCTTATAACTCTCTTCGTTCTGCCCGAAGTCATCGGCAGACTACTGTTCCCAGCCAGCAAGTGGCGTTCGCGCCCGACAACGTACCGCGTCCTTTGTGGCGTTGGAGCAGTCGGCAACGTTCTAATGATGATGATCGCCAACCTGGTCGGATTCGCGTTAGGGCTAGATGGATTGGAGGGTCTTTTGGCTGGTATTTTGGGGTCCTGGGCCGGCATCATCTACCTCATCTCAGCGTGCTGTGCTCTGTTTGTGGGAGTGCAGGTTATGTTTGAGATTCGTGAAGAGGAAGCACGGGCTGGTATTGACTTGAAATATTGATTCTATCTGTGAATATTATACAGCAGTTGCTTAGACGCATTGCTAGATTTGGAATAGCATAATTAGTTGCATCTAATAGGGTATCAAAATGTTCATATAGCCCGCATCAGCGCGGGCTTCCACTAGTAGGGATATGCACCATGCCCTGGGGAGCGGCTCGAAAGCTTCCGCCAGAAGATCCAGTAGTGGTGTCCTGAGTATAGACTCAAAGGCTAATAGTGCAGTACTGTCCGAACGCTACCACCTTCTTACTTCCTAGTCATCTTATCCCCCCAAAACTACCTCCACTCATCCTGACTAGAAAAACGCCCCGCACCTCGAATCCTCATGCACTTTATAACACCCCAACCCACAAGTCCTCAAATGACAATTCTTGCACCGAATCTTCCCCCAATACCCACACATACAGCAGAAATACCGCGGCGACTTCCTCGCAATCGGCGGGCCAGCGCGCGATGCATGATACGTCAACGGCGGTTCTGCGAGCAAAGCCTGCATGATACGTTCCGAGGGCGCAGAGGGAATATATGATTTCAAGAGGGGGTCGTTGTCGTGTTCGGATTTGATAAGTTCATGGGGATTTTGCTGCTTCTCCTCCTCCTCCTTCGATTCGGTGTTGTCTTTGTCTTGGGGTTGGTCTTTGTCGGGTGCTGGTGTTTCTGTTTCTGTTTCGGCGGCGGTGGTTACTGTTGAGGCGCGGGAGGAGGTCGGGGCGGTGGAGGAGGGGCGTTGATGTTGTTGTTGTTGTTGTGCCTTGCGATTACTGCGCGAGGAGGTATCGGGTTTAGGTGTTGGTGCTGCTGTTAGGGGTGTTGAGCTGCGCCGAGGGGTAGAGCCCGGTTTGGTGATCTTGTTGATGGAGGGGCGGTGCGAGGAGGAGGTGGAGGAGGTTTGTTGTTGGGTTTGCTGGGTGGATGCTTGCTGCGCTAGAGCGGCTTCTTCGTCGTCGAGGTAATTGCGGAAGGTCTTTTGGGATTGTAGGATTCGGCGGACGTTGGAGGTCACTTTGCCTCTTGTGCCTGGGGGGTTGTAGGTTAGCATGTGTGTTTTCCGTGAACGTACGATGTGTGTGCGTGTGTGTGTGTATGGCATACCTCGACCAGACGCATCCTTCTGTTTTACTGGAATTGAGATCTGCACGTCGCGATGATTCTCGCGATCCAGCTCCGCAAGATGTCGAACGATAGCATTGTTCTGTCGTGAGGAGAGGTCCGCTCGGCCTGGATCGCGGATTCCGCGTTTGCGGCCGATGGCGGGCGTGATGGCGGCTTTGGCTGGGTCGAAACCGCGATCGGGGACGTAGGTCCACCCCGGAGTGGCGTGGGTGGTTGTGCTGTTGGGAATGAGTTCGACGTGATACATGTTTAGGAGAGGATGGAGGGCATGGTTCGGTTCAGGGTGTTTAAAGGCGATGATGGGATGGATTTGAATCTCCGCGAAAATGGATGGATGGTTCGAGAGACCGGAGATGATCCCGTGCCGGAGTTTGTCTTGTTTGCAGGAAGCTTTGGCTCGATGACGCCAGCGACTCGCCGCCAACTGGTCGATATACTACTAGATGATTAGAGAAGACATACATGGCTGGTATTAGTGTACATATAGATAAATACTGTTTGTATACAGGGCTGTTGGTTCATTACGTGATCCTCCATCGCTGTTTTACTCCTGGCGCTTATCTGTGCCAGACCCTGCAATTGGAGCTAAACAACATGATTGATGCTGGGAACCGAAAGATGAAATTGCGCGGTAGAATAGCAAAAGGGAATATGAATGTCGCAGAGCAAACAAATGGAAGAATTGAATGAACGGGGTAATAAATTCAGCATTAATGAGAATGTTCAAGCTTATTTCTTCTTCTGCAACTGGTCCACCTTCCTTTCTAGTTCACCAATGTACGTCTGCAGCTTTTGTGTAGCTCCTTGAAGAGCCTGATTACCTTATTAGTAGCTCTTATGAAACTGTTTTGGGAGGAAATAATATACGTACGATGATATCTTCTGTCAGCATCTCGTTCGCGATCCTGTACTCGCCCAGGACATAGAAGTAGACTCCGGCGCTGGCAGCAATCGCGCCAGTAAGGAATCCGAACAGACTAGTTCATGATCAGTAAGCTTATAAACCTTTGGATGAAGCGCAGTCCAGGATAAACCAACCCCCCGCGAAACGCGCCCACGGGCTTCTTCGTAGGCAGAGTGTGCGCCGCTTCCTTCATGAAGGGAGAGACCGAAAAGTTCCGCGCCGGGACAAATGCCGACTTGGTTGCGACGGAGCGCAGGCCAGGCAACATTCTCTTGCACACGTTCATGATCATAAATGGTTTAAGGATCTGCAGTTGCAATCAGCACAGAGCATCGCTAGGCAAAATGATCAGGTTTCTTCTCACGTTGGAAGGAGATGAAGTTGGGGGCGCCGGGGAGAGCTTGGGATGAGTGACGTTGGCGGTGCTGTTTTGGGCGGAGACTGCGGCTGCTGCCGGCCCAATTATCCACGGCGCGTTTTCCGATCTCCTTCACCCCAACTATGCTGCTGGTTATTGTATTTGCCGCCTACGATTGATCACAAGTATTATTGGTGGCTGGGCTACGTGCGGAGATGCTACTGGATTGTTCCATGGATACCACCTGCTTGATACATACCATTATGCGTCCAATGGCAATTACTGGAAAAAGACAGTTCTATCTACTATAGTAAGGCAGAGATCGTAGACCTCGGTTGTTACGGACAGCGCGGAGTCTGGCATACAGGCATTGGGTATAATACAAGAGAGGCTCGCTAGGTAACAGGAACTGGAAATAAATGAATGACGCTGTTAGTTGGCCATCGTACTTTCGTTGAACAAATCCGCTAACAGGTCGTCTCGGCAGACGTCCAACCGCGGATGGCCCATGCTATACGTGCTCTCGAATGCATGAATGCTGAGCTGATCAAAGAACGGCCGAAGGACTCGCTCAACAATCTCATCCTTTGCCGTTTCGCGAATCCAGTCAGCAGTCAGGCTTGGCTGTTTCCCCCCCTGGCTGAGATCGGCCGTCTCCCCGAGTCCATCCGACGAGGCCGATCCGCGCGCTCCCAAGCTCTGCGAGATTTCGTCCGCGAGTGCCATGGGTTCAAAGCGCTCCGGAGGGTAGACCGCATCTATGGTGTCGGTCACGTAAAGCCATTCGAGAAGTTGAAAGTCATCAGGCGCGAGGATGAGCAAAGTATCCAGCAGCTTACACGCTTGTAGCAGCGCATATGGGTTGTACACCTCCTGCTGCTGGCCTACTGAGACCGCTGAGATGGCCTCTTGGAGCTCAGAATTCATCAACGGCCAAAAGGGGGCCAGAGTAGTGGCTGTGCACTTAAGGGCAAGGGCGCGCAAAACCATGAAAACCTCGGACCTGGTCGTAGAAGATGGGGACGAGGAACTAGTCGCGCCCAAGAGATCTTCCAACTTCTGAAGGAGTGCAGGTAGCTCTGCAACAAAGTAGTCAGTGTTGGCTGACAGGATGAGGAGGCTTATCCTGCGGAGATTCAATTGCGCCTTTCGATCCGCTTCTAGACGGGCAGCAGAAGCTCCAACGCCAAACATGATGCCTGCAGTACTTGGCGGAGTGAGTCGGGACATCAACTCAGACATTCGATCTTTGTCGGCGAGCACCCATTGCCGCAAAAGGTTTACCCAGCCGTCTTTCACCAAATCAAGCTGCATTCCGAAGAATTTCGGGTCGTTGAAGGCATCAGAGATATCCTTCTTCCAAATCTTGGAAGCAGCGGGGATTTTTGCTATGTGCTGGAGGAGCGCCATAAAATTCCGACTAACGTTATTCGGAAAGAGGCGTGCGCGAAAGAGTGGCCCGATTATATGAGTAGATATCCCAGACACCGCGGTAGTAATACGATCCGAATCGCCCAAGGTTGTTGTAAACGCGGGCATAGAGGCAGCAAGAATGCTGAGCAGGTCATCAGGCCCAACATGTGGCAGCGATCCACTGTCATAGTCAATAGACGCCCGGCCGAGAAGTGCTGACTCTTGGGAGAGACCCATGGGCTTGCTGGTGAATATTGCCGTCAGGAGACGGAGGAGTACATCCTGAAGTTGTCAGCATAGCCACGTCAAAGTCAAAATTAGATGAAACATACTCCTAACTCCTTCCTCATCCGTCGATCTTCTCCGAAGCTCGTATTCTCCAACTTTGCCCCAAGGATCGCTGCGAATTCCACTAATCGCGGAAGGATCTGCCTATGCGGAAAAGGATTGCTCAAAACATCTCGTAAGAAGGTGGTGCAATCTGCCCAAATCTCATCCAAAACATCATCGTCAAGTGACCTGGCGTAGGTCACTAGGAAACCTGCTAGCTCAGACTCCGTAAGGCTTGCGGTCAAGGTGGACTTGCGGTTGGGTTCCAATGCGGCGGGGTTAGTTCGCGTGTAGATAGAGTTGAATACAGCTGGTATTGTGATCTTTGGACGAGATCCATCCAGCGTGTGGAGCAAACTGATGATCAAAGACGAAGTGTCGCTGTCTGACTTCGTCCATACCTCTACCGCAGTTTCAAGACATTCAAGTGCCTCGGCCGTGAACAAGTGTTCCAATATCCGACGCGATCTATTCCTCATGCGCAAGGATGTATATTGGAAAGATGCCAACGACTCCGGGTCTTGAGGGAGTGTGCTTCGTTCTACCGCGCCCCACGACCATATCGAAAAACAAAGTCGCACAGCGTCCTGGAAGCAAAGCAAAACGGTGAGGCGGTTATTGGCCGCGCTGGACCGAGCATGACTCTGTTCAGACGCGAAGACTCCTGAGACCATGTTTCCAAAGAACCCATGATTCTGGTCCGGGCTCTTGGCAGCCGGTACATTTGCTTCTTCCGACAGCAGACGCTCGTGGGCAGTTGCGATGCAAGTCTCGAGACCGGTGAGTAGAGCGATCGTAGCGTGTTCAGAGCGATCTTCGGGCCAACCCTCGGTGCGCTTGAAAGATAGCTGAAGACTTGCATATGCCAATTGGATTTCCTTACAAAAGCATTCCACTAACATCAGGATTATCTGGAAGATGGATCCTGCATAAAGCGGAAGTACTTCGCAAAGCAGTATTGTCCACCTCTCCACTATCTCCCTGGAGTTCGGAGAGCTTATGCCTTTTAGAAGGCACTCCAATAGTTGCTGAGGGGGCTGGGGTAGAGGTGGCAATGCAAGAGACTTATCAGGTTTGTCGCTTGTGAAGGATAAGATAGAAGGACTTGTTAGACGCTCTCGAGAGGCAGTCCTTTGATGCTTTGGGCGTGGTGGGGGTGGTGGCAGGTACGCTTGAGCAAATCGAACCTTCAGCGCTGCGAGAAGAGTGTCGATAAGTGCTGCTTGAATACCGACACTACCACCGTTATCGAGCACGCTGGACAGCCTATCGACAAGGAAGGAGTCAATTCCAGATTCGGCCACCTCCTCGGCCCCGGGGCCAAGAAGAAGTTGACGCATCACAAGCAGCGCCGTTTGTTGCAGTTTGATCTCATCCACGCCCTGATGAGCAGCCGTCGTATGTCCGCTAACCACTCTGAGAGAGGCCTGGAAAATGACCGCATGTAGGCTCTGGGCTCCAGAGTTATCTGCAACTATCATCAGAAATTTGGTCACAGGAATGCTTGGTAGAACCGACCTTCAGATGTTGGAGTATCCTTGTGCTTCTCTGTTTGTACCAACGTCTGGGTGAGCAAGCTGATCCACCCATTATGTGAAAGCGTTGATATGAGATTGGATATTGTTTGTAGTAGATAGCTGCACTCTCTGTAGTCGTCTGGAGATACAGTGGGATTCGCAGTGTCTGGCTCTGCGTTCTCTGACTGCTGGAATAGACGATCAAGCCTCGAAACTACCATGCGGAAAACTCTATAGAACATAAGCACATGTTCAAAGCAGAGTTTTCAATCCAATATCAAACAGGAAAGGAATATGGGAGAGACTGGGAGTGGGGTGCAAACGAACTTATGTATGGAAGACAGGTCTTCAAGCCAGCGGTGTACGACCTGAGAGGCTTCATTTACGCCTTGGTTGAGCAAATCCAAGACGATAAAGAGAGGGCGCTCGAGCATCGATGACTGGTAAGAGATTCCCAGCTGTGACACATTATGTAACTGCTTCGGAGGGAGCTCGTATGTACCGTGATGACTGTGAGACCAGAGAACAAAGTACCTCCCTGCTTGTTCTGCCGACGATGATTGACGATGCCCGTTCGACTTGTCCACCATCAGAGAAGTGATCGCAGCCTCGACCATATGATCGGCCCATGAAACAGAGTGCAAATGCCACAATGAGCGAACTGCCTCGACATGAAACTTAGGGTTCAGCGGCGAAAGATATTGCCATAGCCGGTTGACAAGGGTGGGAATCAAGTCAGATACATCCTCGTAACTGATGTAGTACCCGGGGCTATGGATAAAATACATGCTCGTAATGGCGGATGCAATCGAGGAGATGGCTGCGAAGGAGGCGGTGGATGTCTCCACTTGATCAGCGCGAACACGATCACATAGTGCCAAGTAAAGGCGTCTATCGCGCAGAATCTTTGTTTTTGGAAGCTTCTTCAACATGACAATAAGAAGGCTTATACGTTCATGCATCTGTGTCGCATCGCCGCGGCCATCGAGAGCCTCAATAGCTTGTTCGTAGGCATTCCTGATGATGAGTTCCCCAAGGTGCTTGGGGGCGAATGGAAGCGGCTGAGGATCAAGACTCTGTTTGCTCTGCTCATAAAAGGCATGTATCCTACTCAAAATTTGTGAGCCAGGTACATCGGACTTGGAGCCATCCGCCTTATGGGTATCAGACTTCTTCGCGAACGCCCTCTCGGTGAGTAGACCCGATAAAGAAGTCATAACACGGGATAGCCCAGTTGCTACGGCACGCAGCCGCTCTTGGTCCAAGTTAGGACTCTTTTTCGGAGAGAGTTCGCTTGATTTGATTATTGTGGCGAGAGTCAGCAAAGGCACATGTGCAAGTACCATGTCCTCTTCGCGCACATTGAAGTTTTCGAGGATGAAATGCGCAAGATCCAGATTCTTCAGCACCTTGTCGTGCCCTGAGGTCAAGTCCTTGGACTTCCAGTCAATCAGGTACAAAAGTTCGGAGAAAATTACGCCGCTTTCCACGCCATCAAAGAAAGAACTGGCACTGCGAAAAACTTCCTCGAACTGAGTTTTTGACGCTTTCGATTCAAAAGCCTGGACACTTCGCATGATCGGCAAGAATACTTCCGGCACAATATAGCCGCCAACTTCCCATCGGTCCATCAGCGACAGCGAAATGCGAAAAGGCCTCGTTTTCTCTGCGGGTACTTCGGTATCTTTCTCGATCATGCCAAGAAGACCGTTCACCAGCGGAGTCAATCCGAATCGACTAAAGTATTCGGACTGAGAAATTTCTTCGGCGTCAGGGACCGGTTGAGAAACGTTATCCGATATAGAATTGCGTGCCTCGAAGGAGGGCCGATCGGTTGCAGGCTCAGGACCGAGGAGCCAGGCCCATAACCTTCTGTTCAGACTCATGTCTCGTCGAGACACAACTCCCACAGCTGCGACAATCAGTTTCTGAAGATCATCCTTGGTAATTCTAGCTTGCAAAATAGGTGAGCTCAGGGGTATATGTGTCACTAGCAGATCGAGGAAATTTCGCTGGACAAGGACTTGTTCGTCTGCTAGTCCAGTTGCGAAACACCGTATCAGCAAACCGGGTTCCGGCAGGATTACTGAGTCCGCTGCCACAGAGATCTCATGAGGTAGATCCTTAGCTTCGCTCACATCACTTTTGCTCGGCCTGCGATCTGTGATGCCCAGCTTAGGTAGGTAACGGTTCAAGTAGGCAAGTACACCCGAACGTCGGCTAGGGCTAGTTATGGACGCCAGGAACAGGCACTGCCAAAAGTAGTGACCGCTTGGACTGGACTCCGCTTCCTGTTTATATGTATCCATCTTACTCGCGATGTCGCGGAACTTGTTGACGAGTCGCATGGTAGGGTCAAAGTCATCGCTTGTTTCTTCTTCTAACCCTGGCAGGAGGGCCAAAAGGATGGCCTTGAGGGCCGGTCTGATTGCCCATGGTTCGAGATTGCAAATGTATGTTTCCACAAGAGACAGAAAGAGTGGGCGGACAGTGAGCGAGGCGAACGTCAAAGTGGGCGCGATACCAGGGAGGTATAAGGGCAGGTCGTGCGACAATCCTTCCGGCTAAGGCACCAAAGACATATGTTAGCAAGAAGCAAGTATTCAGATTAAGTAGAAATCTGAGTGATAAATGCGAACCTTGATCAGATTGAAAATGTACGTATAGACTTCAAGAGCTTTCTGGTGGACACCGGACGGCAAGGAAGGGTTAAGGCATTGGGAAAGTCGTTTCGCAACCAGTAGTTTGTGAGGCACAATGGGCATGTCCGCAGGATGGGATTGAAGTGCCTATGAAGATAGCCATCAGTAAATTGCATTACCGCCCCTGGTATATTATGCATCGTACCTTGAGCAACCGGCTCAGGAAGGAGATGTAATCCGCCCATTCCTGCAAAGCAGTATCGAATAGTGACAGTGCTCGTTCAACGGTAGACGCATAACGGCGATAGTTCTTATCCTTCTTCAGCGGCTCTGACAATATCACATATATCAGTATGCAGTATAATAAAATCTGTACGACCAAGAGTGGCCAACCTTCTTTCCCCCGTAGTCGGGAGCGCGTGAGAGAGCTTTCGGAGCTTGCGGGGGAATTCGACCTCGGAAACGAGCTCGGATCAAGGCTCATGGTGCGATTGTCGGATGATTGATTCTGTCGTGCAAATGTAACTGCAGATCGCGCCTCATCATATCTTGTGCATCGGGCCAAACTGGGGTGGGAGGGCTAGTTTGGTCTGGCTGGTTGGAGCTGATGTTGCGAAAGGGCCAGGCGGCCATGTTTCCGTCTATCTGGCGTTGACCCGCCCGCCTTTGGGGAGCTCCGCCGGGAGGCTCCATCTTCTTCCTTCCCTTCGGTCGCTCAATCTAAACTATGCTTGTTTCCTCCTCCCGCCCGCCGCTGCCGCATCGCGGCCTTGCAATCCCCACCATGCGACATATTCTTCTTCATTTCTATGGCGTCTGTGGACTTATTCTCCAGAGCTAGGATATTCGTCTTTGCTACGAACTCGATTTCTAAATGATCCCAGCTAGAACGTGGCTGAGGCAACTACCGGTGCGCGCGAGCTGAGAGTATGGATTCGACGGACCCCGGTCCGTCGCAGGACACCCCCGATCATGGCATTACGCAAGCGCCGACTCCCCAAGACGACGACGACGACGCCCCATTCTCCGGACAAGCGACTACGGGATCTACAGAATCTACTGGCGGTGACCACAGCACCGTTCTCGATGAACGGCCACCGCCTCTTCCCCCGCGTCCAGGCACATTGAATCTGTTGGATGAAGGAGGGGCATCTCTTCGGGTACCGCGGCAGCCTGCACAACCAGCTCTCCAATCCAGGGCTACAACGGCGGTATCTCTCCCAGATGTTGCTTCGCAAGATACAGGAAAGGATACTTTGGCTGTGCGCAATCTACAAGGCGCACCGAAGGCTAAGGCCAGCCTCAGCCACTTAGCTAGCCCAAGAGGAAGCGAAGCTGGCGATACTGCTAGTATCAGGAGCACAATACCTCAAGGAGATCTAGGCGATGTCGATAATGTCTTCGGTGACTTTCTGGCAACGGAGCCTGGTCTTATCCGCCAGCCTAACACGGGACTCTTGCAATTCCCGGAGTTCCAAGCTGACGACGTAGAAGACGACTTTGCCTCGGAGTTCGAGCCAGTGGGAGACGTTGGCGAAGAAGGGGAGAACGAAGGTATGCATAGCTCGCAGATAACGGTCCTTACTTTCGCTAACCAACAAAACCGTGCAGAACTGGTTCTGGAAAATTGGAAATCGAAACGCAAACACTACATTATCCTCTCAGCTGCTGGCAAACCGATATGGACGAGACATGGTGACGGTGGTCTGATATCGACCTATGTTGGCGTCATTCAGACTATCATCTCGTTCTATGAAGATTCCAAAGACCGCCTAAGCAGTTTCTCTGCCGGTGATACCAAGTTCGTGGTGGTCAACAAAGGGCCTTTGTACCTGGCTGCGATCAGTCGCATGCTGGAGAGTGAAACGCAGCTTAAACTTCAGTTGGAAGCTCTGTACATGCAAATCTTGTCTACTTTGACCCTTCCATCCTTAACCCACCTTTTCTCTATCCGCCCTTCTACCGACCTCAAGCGGCCCCTTCAAGGCTCTGAGACGCTTCTATCTACGTTAGCCGACAGCTTTACGAAGGGGTCCCCATCCACGCTGCTTTCCGCATTGGAATGCCTCAAGATCCGCAAGTCTCATAGGCAAGCGATCAATAACACTCTTCTAAAGACCAAGGTCAGCGGCCTTCTCTATGGCTTGGTCGTGGCAGGTGGTCGGCTTGTCAGTGTTGTCCGGCCTAAGAAGCATTCTCTGCATCCCGGTGATTTGCAGCTGCTTTTCAACATGATCTTCGAAGCCGAAGCTGTTAAAGCTGGTGGTGGCGAGAGCTGGATTCCCGTGTGCCTACCAGGCTTCAACAGCAGTGGGTACCTCTACATGTATGTCAGCTTCCTCGATCTACGAGAAGACTCTGGCAATACTGCCGACGACACAACCACGAAAGAGGAGTCTGTTGCTATCATCCTGATAAGCGCCAATAAGGAAAGCTTCTTCGAGTTGCAAGGCATGCGCGATGCATTCGTCGAGGTTTGTGACCATGCCTCTTATGAAAACATGCCAGCAGGCTAACCTAGTACTTTAACTCACAGCAACTAGAGAAGAATGGCAGTCTCAAAATCATCAGAGAAGCCGTTGACAAGGGCCGCCCCAGCACAACAGACATAGTTCCAGGGACCGTCCTGCACCACTTCCTTTACAAGTCACGAGCCAACGTACAATTCACAATGTCCGCGTATGACCCCGAATTTGCCTCGGTATCCCGACGTCGCAGGTACGCACAACCCTTGATTCTCGCTTCCGACGACTATGTCATTATGTGTAGATACTGACAATGGCACTTTATCTAGGCTGATGTCCACCTACAATAACCTACATGCAAGCATCCATGCTAAGCACACCCATGTCAAGATCCACCACTGTGTCTCACAATCCTCGAGCTCATTTGCATGGGTGACACCGGTGTTCGAATTCTATTGCGTTGCAAATGCAAATGCAAACCGCAATGCATTGGCGCAGAGCGCAAGCAAGATAATAGACTGGGTGCATCAAGAAGAGGAGAGACTCTTCATCATTGGCGGAGCGGTAAGTTAGGCAGCGGCTCCTTATTCCAGTTGAGAACAGTGACTAACAGTCGGTTACCAGGTATTCTAATCATTTCTGGCCCTGCATGGATAGAGGTGTATATACAGCTTTCCTTGAAATATTTTCTGGTCAAAGACCTCTAGTACAAACACGCCAAAGTGCATCAGATATCATCTCAAGCTAAGGCTACACAAGACTTTCCTATATGACCAGGATACACCTAATGCATTTATACACAATACCATGCATATCATGGTCCAGTAACCAAGATCCATCCCTCTAATCAATGGTATCCTCCCTCAGAGCAAACAGCTGCTGAATAAGCTCATCCGACTTGCTGCGAATGGCATTATGATACATAACATTCGTAATGAACTGCTTGGCACCCTTGATCTTGGCCGCGGTATTCTGCGCATGATCAAAGTGGACATACATATCATCAATGTATGTGGCTGCGTAGACAGGAACCTCGTTCCGTGCTAGCTGGGCTTCATCATAAAGCGCCGGCCAGTCATTCGCCGAGGCGAGGATGTCTGCCGCATCTCGAACCTGGCTGAGTTCCGTGTAGGAGTCGAACATGTCTTTGTAGACCTGTATTTGTGCGAGTTAGTGTTGTTGATTGGGTTGATGGTCGGAGTAAGAAAGTTGGGGTACTTGCCATTTCACCAGTGAAGAGGATCTCAGACTTGTTGGCGTCGATTTGGAAGTCCGGGTTAGAGGCGCGTAGTCTATCTGCGGACCAGTTGGAGGGTTTGCTGTCATGCCGATGTTGTTAGCTCGTGCGAATATTGGTGGGGTAAACATTGGTGGTGACTCACCCCTGGCAGTAGATAGCCTCATGCAGAATAGCGTAGATGATGTTGTTGTCCATTCCGCCGAAACTGTCAATAGAGGTGAGCGTGGGGTGGGTGAGGAAGCCGAAGACGTCCAGGTCGTTCCAGGCACGTAGCACGAGATCTATGTCGTGTTAGTGAGGGTTGAAGGTATTTAGTAATTCTGGGACCCATTACCATGGATGCTGTCAAGACCACCTGCGGGATGTTAGTAAGAAGGATCGGAGAATAATCGCTTCAGAAGTCCTTACCGTGCATGCCAAACAGGATACCCATTTGCTGGAATCGCTCCGGGGTCAGTGTTCCTGTTGGCAGAGCGACCTCGTTGTCTTTCAAGTATTGGATGATTTGCTTGACTCTTTCGACGTCTTCGGGGAACTTGGCGTAGTATGCCTTGTTCCTTTCGATGACCTTTTCTGTACGGGCTTAGCTCACCATGCACTAATTGTGTCAAGTAGATTGCTTACCGTATGTACGTGCATACACAGGGTCTGGGTTATCAACGAGAGGAGGAAGTCCACCGCAGATGAAAGCCTCAGCGAGACCTTCTGGGCTTGTAGTAGAATAGCTAGTTAGTATCCAGCTGGGACCATCATGAGACGGGGCTAGACATACAACATGGAAAGATAAGTCACGGCGCAGAAACCGCCAAAGCTCTGGCCAATGATGCTCCATTTCCGCTTGTCCTCGGGGTAATCGGTCATCAGACAACGGCGAACAGCCTCACAGTCACGCACAATGTTGTCTGCGCGGAAGTTCTTCATGTACTCTGCTTGTTTGATGGCATTGCCTTGCCGAGCAAGGGTGCCCGCTGTGACGGTGGAACTGAGACCAGTGCCACGTTGATCGAGGAACAAGACCTATTTGGTGAGAAAGGAACCCTTAAGATATACTACTGTTCAGTGGGGTTGTTTACCTGATAACCCTTTTCGAGGACTGTTCCAATCCAGCCATACTCTTGCGGGGGGCGGCATCCCATTCCAGGGCCACCCTGCAAGTACACCAGGAACGGCAACTGCTTGTCGTCCTTGGGGGTCTCGCTTGGCTCAGCAGGCGTTACCAGACGACGTACACTGCGGGCAAACAGTCTCAGAGTGCCATCATTGGGCTTGTTGTAATTGAGAGGCACATCGAAGAACAATTCAGCCACCCGGAGCCTGCCTGGATAACCCCACCTGTCATTAGCGTTGACATTTTCCCCTAACCCGGGAAGCCATACGCACCGGGAACATTATGGAAGCGCCGATCGATCAACTTGGCAGCCATTGTCGTGGCACTCTTAGCTATGGGGTCTATGGGATTGCGGATGTCTTGGATTCCCTACGAAGCGAATTGAGGTGGTGTGACGGGCAGATGGGCTGATGGGTCCAACAGCCGCCGGCGGAGGTCTGCCATTTACTAGCCTCCGCTTTGGGAGAAGCTGTAAACTGTAACGGTATCTTCTCCTCACAATACGGTATGCTGAGCCGCGATTAAGCTTCCCGTCAAAATCACTCCTTTTAGTACTAGGATTTGTTCGTTCTCCACCATTTCTTATGCAGTTTCGCGCTTCGGAGATAACCGCACCTATCATTCGCTCCCTGCATGACTGCAGTCAGACTACTACTAGCGCTGACGCCCACGCCTTGCAATAGTGCTGCCTACTCACTGCTCTAACTGCCCTATAACGCTGTTTTAGTGACTAGCACTGTCAAACCCAGTCTTGGAGATCCTTGCAGCATA